CCTCGGTACATCTGCACCAGGTCATATGTCGACTGGCGGCGCATGGGTTGGAAAGCCCGGCCCCGCCAGGATTCCACCATGAACACTGGAAAAAATGATTAAAGAATGATCGAGACGATGAACTGAAATCGAATTCCTGAAAAGGACGGGGGGCAGGCGGAGCCGGCCTATCCGAGCCAGGCTCGGAGGGTCGCGGTCGCCTCGGCCTCCCCGGCCGCCGTGTCCCCGACGGCGGGCCCAGAGAAGAGAGGTGGACGCGGGGGGGCATCTCCCCACGGCGCCACCTCGCGGCGGCGGCGCGCCTCGCGGAGGCGGCGGGCCGCCTCCCTGTTGGCGGCCATGCGCGCTCTCTGGGCGTCGGAGAGGGGAAGGGGACAGGGCGGGGGAGCAGCCGGAGGAGGAGGACGGGGCCGGACACTTAAGGCAAAGCCCCCCCACAAGCCCACGCCGGACACTTCAGGCAACGCTCTGATAGCGCATCATTTTCCATACTATAGTAAGTCATATCTCATTTGTAATTTCTCCACGCGCGCCAGCGCATGCATCGTGGCGCAAGCGGGCGAACCAACTCATGGGGCATCCATGGGAGGATCCACCTTGAGTATCCGAAAGAGGGGGAGTCTAGATGTGCCCCCAAACGAGGTGTCTACCTCCAGGACACAGCCCGGCGGCAAAGCCGGCAGTCCTGCACTCACTGCACACGCACGCTCGTTCGTGTAGTTGGTGCCCACCACGTCGTCCCCGCATCCATCCATCCCCTCTCTTGTTTCTCTCCCCTGGTCTTCGCCTTACTTTCCGCATGCACGCTCGATCGAGGAGTGGGTGTACCCCACGTTCAACTCTTTGCCTCCCGCGCTGGTCGAACCCGGCGACGCCGGGAACGGGAAAGAGGGGGTTGAAGGGGGGTGGTTGGGTTTCGAGGTGTTATGACACGTCGGACTCGACTCTGAAAGCTGAGAGAAGGCCTGGCCCCAGCCAAATGGGGACTGCGGAGTCGAGCACTTAAGAGTGGGGCGAAGCTGGTCCCCAAAGGAAGCGTCAGGGCACCCGTTGTTCTTCAAAGGCAGCAATAAGGTTTTCTGTTTTCTGTGCACCAGGCAGGGGGAGGGGCAGGGCAGAGGGGGAGGGTCCGGGCGGCCGTCACAGGGGCACTTCACGCCGCTTCGGCGGTCGGCGTGGCGTAGGCGAGCCAGCCCGTCAGGCTGGCAGCGCTGCGCACTACAAACCTGGGAACCACGCAAGCCAAGGGAAAATGGTGCCCGTGCCACCATGCACCTCCCATCCTGCCAGCCTCTGGAGCATCGTGTCTGGTCCCCCTGTATCTCGCCTCTGGACTCGTCTGGCGCTTCCCCGTCCGCCCATCCAGCCCTCCTTCCCCGCCACCTCGCCTGTATCCACATATGCTTCATTCTTCTAGGGACACGCCAGGGTAGGGGGGAGCCATAAACTAAGTCGCACACGGGCTTTCAACACAATGCGATGCAACACACTGGAAGCAAAAATGCCCGGTGCTTATGAGGACACGTGTTCTGCTGTCGCTCACTCACATGTGTCAGTCTCGACTCTCGATTTCACTGCTTTGGGCGTGCCGGCCCATCCGTTATCCTTCCTGCTTCGCCGCCGTCTGGTTTCCCCTTCCCCCTCATCTTGTTTCGTGCTCTCCCTCTCTCTCTTCCCCGTGCTCTCTCTCTCTCTCTCTCTCTCCCTCTCTCTCTCCCCCGCTTTTGCTTTGTGCCCTTCCTGCCCCCCTCTTTCACCTGCCCCTCGCTGGTATCCAAATCCATCCATCCTTGCCCCGGTGCTTCCCCATCCTTTGTCCCTGGTCACCCGCAGAGTCCGCTTGTGCGGACTGGGAGTGGGCCAGAACCCCATCCGTTAGGGTACGGCACGACGCGTGCCCCCAGCAGGGCTCGCTGTGCTCCTACACCCCCCAATGGGGCACTTCATGATTCAAGCAGGAGCGATCCGAAGCTCGCTGCGGGCCGTCAGGCCCACAAAGGTGGCTGCTCGTTCAATGCCCAACCACCTGGGGACCTTCCACCCCTCAAGGAAGCGTAAAGTCTCAGAGTCCTCCTCCTCCTCCTCCTCCTCCTCATCCTCCTCCTCCTCCTCCTCCTCCCTGTCTTCCTCATCCTCCCCCTAACCCTTCCCCTCCCCCTCCCCCTCCTCCTCGAACTCCTCCTCCGCTTCTGCCTCCTCCTCCTCCTCCTCCTCATCCTCCTCCCTCCACCGCCCGCCCCATGTCCTGAGCCTGCGGCCCTGTGGCAGAGTCATCAGCTCGTCGTTGTCGTTGTCGTCGTGGTCGTGGTCGTCGTCCTTCTGGGTCGGCGGCACTGGCCGTAAGCTCTTCACGACAATTATTCCGCCGCTGCCGCGGACGAAGAGGGGAAGGGGAGGAGCAGAAGGAGGAGGAGGAGGAGGAGGAGGAGGAGGAGGAAGAGGAGGGGGGGGGGAAGAGGAGCAGGAGAGGATGAGGATGTGGAGGAGGGCTGCGTCAGACTGGCTCAATAGCCAACAGCTCGAAGCTCGAAGGAGGAGGAGGAGGAGGAGGAAGAGGAAAAGGCCAGGGCGACCCAGGGGACGCGCAGCGTTTATTGCCAGCCAAAAGGCATTGGGTGGGGGGGAGGGGGGAGGGTCATGACTCGGGCCTCTGGCGGCCATTCGGGATGACTCACTCCAGCACCCCCAGCACGCTCTCGGCGAGGCGCAGCTGCAGAAAAGCATCCCGGGGCTGGAAAACACCCAATACCGACGAAAACGCTAGAATGATGCAAGAACATAAGACCCTCCGCCGGCCAAACTGAAGCACCTTCGAGTACCCTCCCTAAGGATACACAAGAACATCCAACAAACAGAAAGAACATCAGGGTACCCTCCCCGGTCCCCGAACCGACTTCAATCTGACACCTCGGTCCAACCGTACCCGACGTTGTCTTGTTTCCACAACTTGGATCTCCAGAGGCCTGAAACCCCTTCTCAGGGACCAGACGTGTCATCCCGAACTGTTTTTCGACGCCCTCAGAGGTCAGCAGTGGCCGACGTAGACCAAACTAGTTTGCTTATGACTTCTTCGCGACGCGAGGAGGTCACGCTCCACGGGAGGGGCGTTGTCGTCGCCGTCGCGCTGCCCCCCCCCTCTCGGGCACTCTCGGTCGGAAGAAGTGGGTAGAAGCATGAAGTAGGAAGGCGGTGAAACTAGATTGGGCCTCCGCCCACCCCCTGAAGAGAAGCGAACAAGGAGCACCGTTCGACTCTTGAAGTAAAACGCCGCCTAAAGCAGATCGGAATCTGGGAATCCATAAATTCCTACGTACGGATCCGTGGATCCAGCGCGTGAGCGCGTGATCCACACGTGGGCGGATGGGGAGGAGAGGCACCCCCCCAAGACAGGAGGCCGCCGTCGCCTCCTGTCGAGGGAGTCCATGTGGCGAGGGAGCGCGCCGGCATTGCGCGGAAGCGAGCCCCGTCGCTAATCCAGGCGCCCTGATCCATATTTGCGATTCCTCGACCCTCTTAACCAGGAAGGAACAGCCTATCCCGATACTGAAGATCCTCTTTCGCCCTTCTGAAGGTTTGAGCCCGTACGTAGAGGCCTCCCCAATGGGGCGTGAGCACATGGGGTCGGAGGATCGCGCCGCATCGCCGATGCATCGCTGATGCGTCGACGTTGCATAGGCGACGTCGGCGATGCGTCGGCAACGCTGGCGCGGCGAAAGTCGGGCTCCACACCGAGTTGAAGGACGGGCGGTAAGGGCGCAAGGCCATTGGGGGAGGCCGAAGTTGGGATTGTTTGGGCGGCGGCCGACCAAACACACAAAGGGCATCCTGAGAGGCTGGCCAGTGGAAGCGGCAAATGGCGAGCCGCAGAGGCAAAGACACCAGGGCATACCCTACAAAAGGCGCACGTCCCTGCAGATGCGCGCTGACTGCACCCGGACTCCTCCTCCTCCTCCTCCTCCTCCTCCTCCTGCCCGCCTCCTGCTCCTCCTCCTCCTCCTCCTCCTCCTCCTCCTCCTCCTGCTCCTCCTCCTGCTCCTCCTCCTCCTCCTCCTTCTCCTCCTCCTCCTCCTCCCTGCTCCTCCTCCTCCTGCTCATCCCCTCCTCCTCCTCCTCCTCCATCCTCCTCCCCCTTCCTCCTCCTCCCCCTCCTCCTCCTCCCTGCTCCTGCTCCTCCTCCTGCGCCTCCTCCTCCTCCTCCTCCTCCTCCTCCTCCTGGCCTGGGAGTAAGACCACGGACCGTTGCGCACCGCTCGCCCGCGTGCCCGCGCTGCGTGCCGCGCGAGACGGCACAAGCTCCGAGGCGAGAGCCCCTAGTCTCCGGCCGCCGCCGCCGCCGCCGAAGGCGCCCCCCCCCCCCCCCCAGAGTGAAGTCGGGCGTGTCCCTCTACAGGAGGAGTACCCAAAAATAGTGCAACGAAATAGTCTGGGGACGATGTTTTGAGCATGTCTGGGTATTTGGGGCTATCTTGGGGGTGTTTTAAGAATTCGTTTCCTCCAGAATCCGCCTGTAGGAGGACAGGCCGGACCTAACCCGAGAGCCCTCCTAGATGGGGTCCGAGTAGATTCGATGGGGTCGGATGATCGCGCCGCTTCGCCAATGCATTGGCGATGCGTCGGCGACGTACCGGAGATGCATCGCCGACGTCGGCGGTGCATCGGCGGCGCCAGCGTGGAGGAACAAAAAAATCGGGCTTCGCATCGAGCCGCCTCGGCGATGCACCGCCGATGTGGCGCGATCCTCCGACCCCGTCTACTCCGACCCCACCCAGGAGGCGGCCTGGACCCCCTCGGAAGCGGCCAAGAGGGGGGTGTCCAAGAGGGGGGGGTGCAAATCATGACCGGCGGCACGTGCGCGGCCCAGCGGGGGGGCCAGGGACGTAATGAAATAAGAAGCGGCGCCACGAGATCTGGGGAGATATCATGGCCCCCGTCATGATATCCACCCCCCCCCAGTCATCAACCCCCTCTTTTCCGCCCCCGCCCCCCCCCCCGCCAGGGGCCTCGGCGCAAGGGCCCGCCGGGGAGGAGAGGAGCTCGGCGGCGACGGCCCTCGAGTGGGCCGCGACGCCTCGGCCCGGCCGCGCTGCCCACGCGGGGGGGGTTGGCGGCGCGGGCCAGCCAGGGTCGGCGCGACCGGAGCGGGCAGGGCTGCGCACTCGACCTTTGGGCCCCTGTTGGTGGCCACACGTGCGCCCTAACCTCGGTCGGGCATGTCCCCAACAGGCGGATTGTGGACGACAGTTAAAACATTCTCAGAAACATTCGCAGAAAAACAGCCAAACAAATCAGAACATCGTCCCAAAACTATATTTGACTGTGTTTGAATCTTCTTCCTGTAAAGAGACACGCCCGACTAAAGGGTAGGGCTGCGCACCATGACATAGCAGAGCATCGTAGAGTACAGCACAAAGGGAAATAGCAGACCATACCAGATGTGTGTTACGATTGTTACCACGACGGAATCGAATGTATCATACCATAATATATCGCAACACGTGGCAGAGGGAACCCTATGACAAAACACACACACATAACTACCAGCACATGAAAATAACACAGTGTGCCCATCATACATGGCATAGCTGTTCTACTACTGCTACCACTACGGTATCGAATTTGGCAGAACATACTGCACTAGGAAGAGATATGTTATATACCATAGCAAGCCATCTTGCACTATAGTGGAACAAGTATCGCGTACCCAGGACCATACCACATCATAATATTACATATTCTGACAGACCATATGCTACCATACCATGGTGCCACAGAGCAACTCGTACCATACCACCTCAACACCATACTATGACACATGTTAGCATAACGGCGCATACTTACACATAACAAATAAGTGTCGAGGAACATCATGACATACCACATCGCACTATGGTATAGTTAATCAAACGCGACATGTGCGCCGAGTTCTGGCTGGCCAGAGGAACCAACAGGCGCATCAACGGCCGATTGGACGACGTATCCAACGTGACAAGCGACGTCACGCCAGCCCGTCCAGAATCGAACATAACATAACATACTGTCATGTGCTACACTCGGCAAGAAAACAAGCAAACAGAAAAAAGCCTCCTCCTCCTCCTTCTCCTCCTACTCCACTTGCACAAGGTTGCAGATTCTCTCCGAATAACTTCTGGGGATCTCGCTCACACCACGCGTTCTGGAGTGATTTGTCTCCCCAGGGCGTGTTTCGGTCTCTTTCGTCAGGGGCTGTCCTCCTACGACAACCTGGGGCTGTTAGATGTTAGGGCAAGGGCAGCTTGCCGAGCTGGCCGGTACCACCAGGCCGTGCGCGCATCGTTCCAGCAGGCGCGCGCGCCGCCGGGAACAAACGCCGAAGGCTTCGGTGGGGATCGCTCGACGCAACAGAAGTGTCACGACGGGCCTTCCACAAGGGGGAACCCCTGGCTACCAACGCGAAACTGGCAATGCTTCTGCCGATGCGTGCAGGAACAAGGAAGGCTCCACGGACGGGCTCCCCGAGCGCCTGCTCGGGAAGAGGCCCCGCAAGCGACGGTACCAAGGCAACCGGCTGAGACACTGCACGCGCGCGAGGGCAACGGCGTGGGTCCCCAGAGGCAGGGCCCCCTCCCCAGGAAGGGGGGGGGGGAGGGGGAGAAGCAACGGGACGAGGAGAGGGGGGCTCTACCTGCTCTCGTGGCGGTCGGTCTCGACCCCCAGACATCTGACGTCGTGCATTTCACAAGCGCGGCTCCCGAGAGGTCTGGACCGCCTCCCGGGGACCGCCTTTTCACCCCGAGTTATGTTGCTCCCATCGCACTTAAGAACCACATCCCAGAAATAATTTCGAGCACCCAGAAAAGTATCGAAAGAGTGTCGGACGAGTGTCTCCCAGGGCCAGACGTGAAAACCCTCGAGTTTCGGTACTTGTCTTCTGGTGCTCGAAATTCTTTCTGATGGTCAAGGCTAACGAAAATTGAAACATCAGAAACCCCGAGTCGTTCTCGTCGGGTGTTCGCTGCCGGGGCGGCAATACACGCGGGGGAGAAAAGTGCACGTTTCGTGCCGCGGCGGCAGTTTACAGTCGACACGCTGCCATGAGGAACCAAAACAAAAAGAGGAACGAGGCCCCGCCACCACCCTGCCAACCCTGAGCCCCGACGACGGTACAAGAAAGGAATATGATGGGCCTGTTTTCCACCACCACCACCATAAGTTGGAGGGGGAAGGAGGTGGAGGACGAGGAGGAGAAGAAGGACAAAGAGGAGAAGGAGGAGCAGGAGGAGGAGGAGGAGGAGGAGGACCCCCTCCCCCTCCAACGTATGGTGGTGGTGGTGGTGGAAAACAGGCCCATCAGAATACCTGGATCGCGCCATGTTCCTGCTCGGCCTTCTTCTGCGGCCCGGCCGTGGGGGCCGCCGAGGGCCCCCTCGGGGCCCCCCGCGGCGATGGCCCCCCGCTGCCGTCCGCCGCCCGACCTCCGACGGTCCCCGGGCCGAGGGAGGGCTCTCGGATTCAGTCGGGCATGTCCCACATACAGGCGGCTTCTGGGTGTAAAATGACAACGAATCAAAACATAGCCAAAAAGAGTCAAGCAAGTAATAACAAAATCGTCTCAGACTATTGTTCTCAAGGGGCCCCAGGACACACAAATAAATACACACAAATAAAATAATTCCCCATATTTCCACATATTTTCTGGGTTTTTGTCTTCCCGCCCAATTCCCATATTTTCCCATATTTTCTGCGGGATCGACGATTAATTGTGTCTGTGTGTTTTTTCTCCTCCTGATGTTCGACTATTTGTTGATCTATTCCTCCTGCAGGGGGACAGGCCCGACTTAGCCCTCGGAGGCCGAGCGCTGTCGGAGCCATTCCGCTCCGCTTTCTTGCGCGGCGCGGGGGGCCCGGGGGTCCTGCCTCCCCTTCCAGGCCTCTCGTCCAGCAGTCGCTCCCCTCGGTGCCGCCTCGGCCTTCCCTGGGGGGAACGAACAGTGACGTAGACATAAAAACTCAGACGTCCGCGCGGATTTCTCGGATCCTCGCTGACCCCCCCGGCGGCGCCTTCGGCGCCGCCCCTGGCGCTCCGCGCGCCAGGGAGGGGGGTCCAACGCGGATCCACGAAATCCGCGCAGACCTCCGCGTGTTTATGTTGATATAATCTTTCGTTCCCCTATTCACTCTCCTCCTCGTCGTCCCGCTCCTCCGTGCAAGAGGATCGGGCGGTGGGGACGCGAGCCCCCGGGAGGCGCCAAGGGTGCAGTGGCACCCTTGGCGCGGCATCCACAGTCCTCGCATCGTCGCTTGCTGTGTTTTGGGGCAGGTCGGCGAGGCGGGGCCCGACGGTGCGTCGTCGGACTTCGCTGGCTAGGCCTGTCGGCCGTCCGCGACTCCCTGGCCCTGGGCACTGCCCCCCCCGCTCCCCCCGGCTCTCGGCAGGCCCCCCCTGGTGGTGCCTCCGAACGCACTCATCCTGGCTGTGCGGTTTGACTGTGCTCTTCTCCCCCTCCTCCTCCTCCTCCTCCTCCTCCTCCTCCTCCTCCTCCTCCTCCTCCTCCTCCGCCTCCGCCTCCGCCTCCGCCTCCGCCCGCCTCCGCCTCCTCCTCCTCCTCCTCCTCCTCCTCCTCCTCCTCCTCCTCCTCCTCTCCTCCTCCTCCTCCTCCTCCTCCTCCTCCTCCTCCTCCTCCTCCTCCTCCTCCTCCTCCTCCTCCTCCTCCTCCTCCTCCTCCTCCTCCTCCTCCTCCTCCTCCGCCCCCTCCTCCCCCTCCCCCCTTCCTCCCCCTCCTCCCCCTCCTCCCCCTCCTCCCCCTCCTCCCCCTCCTCCTCCTCCTCCATTTCTTCTCCTTATAGGTAACTCCTCCCTGTCGCACCCCGAGGCCAGTTTTTTGAGGCGGGCCGGGTGTTTCGCCTGAGACTTTCACACCATCTATGACTCGGAGGCTTAATTACCCTGCGACGTACCCAACCTATGTGCATCAAGTGGCAAGAGGAGTAGGCCAACACTAGCAGGAACAACGACAATATAGACACGGTGATTTGTTGCGCAATCTACATGGGACGCGCATGCGTTGCACGACTCACAGGACGACGATCGAAAGAACGAGGATCGAGGCCCCAGGCTCGAAGAAGAACGGGGACGGGAACGAGGGGCAGGAGGAGGATGGAATGGGGGGGCGAAAGGCCATCGCGGCAGCAGCAGCATGCATGGAGCAGGTGAAGCGGGGAATCGGACGACAATGAAGGTGGCGGGAGGAGACAGAAAAGCGCCGCGTTTTCAGGTACACGCTAAACACTGAGCGCTGCCTGCGCCATGTCGTCGCAGCGTTCCACAGGCTCAAACCTGCTTATAGTAAGTGCAAGAAGCGAGCGAGACTTAGCTCGCCCGCTAGCTTCTCCGCCTCATCCCTGCACATTTAGTGCGGGAGCTGAACGTTCGCAGGCGCGCCGCCAGGTCTGCGGGCGGCCCGCGGGAAATGACACATTTTCACAGATCGCAGCCCTCCAGGGATGGCGAAGTCTAATCTGAATCCCCGTATGACGTCACTCCGCTGGCCACCCCAGCACCCCTCGAAAGTGGCGACAGGTTCGCAGATCGCAGCCCCCCAGAGATGGCAAGGTCTAATCTGAGTCCCCGTGGGGCGTCACTCCGCTGGCCACCCCAGCAGCCCTCGAAAGTGGCGACAGTTTCGCAGATCGCAGCCCCCCAGGGATGGCGAGGTCTATTCTGAGTCCCCGTAGGGCGTCACTCCGCTGGCCACCCCAGCAGCCCTCGAAAGTGGCGACAGTCTCACAGATCGCAGCCCCCCCACGGATGGCGAGGTCTAATCTGAGTCCCCGTAGGGCGTCACTGCGCTGGCCACCCCAGCAGCCCTCGAAAGTGGCGACAGTTTCACAGATCGCAGCCCCCCAGGGATGGCGAGGTCTAATCTGAGTCCCCGTAGGGCGTCACTCCGCTGGCCACCCCAGCAGCCCTCGAAAGTGGCGACAGTTTCACAGATCGCAGCCCCCCAGGGATGGCGAGGTCTAATCTGAGTCCCCGTGGGGCGTCACTCCGCTGGCCACCCTAGCAGCCCTCGAAAGTGGCGACAGTTTCGCAGATCGCAGCCCCCAGGGATGGCGAGGTCTAATCTGAGTCCCCGTAGGGCGTCACTCCGCTGGCCACCCCAGCAGCCCTCGAAAGTGGCGACAGTTTCACAGATCGCAGCCCCCCAGAGATGGCGAGGTCTAATCTGAGTCCCCGTGGGGCGTCACTGCGCTGCTGGGCCCTCCCCAGCAGCCCTCGAAAGTGGCGACAGTTTCACAGATCGCAGCCCCCCAGGGATGGCGAGGTCTAATCTGAGTCCCCGTAGGGCGTCACTCCGCTGGCCCCCCCAGCAGCCCTCGAAAGTGGCGACAGTTTCACAGATCGCAGCCCCCCCAGGGATGGCGAGGTCTAATCTGAGTCCCCGTAGGGCGTCACTGCGCTGGCCACCCCAGCAGCCCTCGAACGTGGCGACAGTCTCACAGATCGCAGCCCCCCCACGGATGGCGAGGTCTAATCTGAGTCCCCGTGGTGCGTCACTCCGCTGGCCACCCCAGCAGCACTCGAAAGTGGCGACAGATTCACAGATCGCAGTCCCCCAGGGATGGCGAGGTCTAATCTGAGTCCCCGTGGGGCGTCATTTCGCTGGCCACCCCAGCAGCCCTCGAAAGTGGCGACAGTTTCACAGATCGCAGCGCCCCAGAGATGGCGAGGTAACGATAGGTAAAAAGCAAGCGAGGAGAGGAGGAGCGAAGAGAAGAGGATGAGGAGGGGAGAGAGGAGGCGGGAGGCGGGAGGAGGAGGAAGGTGGAGACCACACCACAGTGCTCTATTCAGAACGAGTACCCAACACAGGAGGGTTGGGAAAACGTGACAACAAATTCGCAATTACTCACTGCGTGGAGCTCCCCATATGTGCATCCTTTTAAAAGTAATATTGTACATGGGTCTACAGGACCACACGTAAAACACCAAGGACTCGTGCCCCAGGAGAGGCCCAACATATAGGAACAAAAGTAAACCAAGTAGGATTGCTTACACAGGAGAAGGACAATCTATAGAAACATACGTAGAACATCAACGAATCGTGCTCCAGGTGAGGCCCAATCGATAAGAGCATACGTAAAACACATGGGATTGGAGCCACTCCTGTTGCCTTCTGAGGCCTCCTGCTCCTGGGGCCTCTCGGGGCCTCCTGTTGCCTTCCGAGGCCTCCTGGCGCTTCCTGTTGCCTCCTGGGGCCTCCTGTGGTTTCCTGAGGCCTTCTGGAGCTTCCTGGGGCCTCCTGGAGCCTCTTGGGACATCCTGTGGCCTCTTGAGTCTTATGTGGCCTCCTGATGCCTCCTGGGACCTCATGTGGTCTCCTGGGGCCTCCTGGAGCCTGTTGGAGCCTCCTGTGGCATCCTGAGAAGAATCTGCGCCCACGAGCCTGGCCACCAAAACAAGCAAACCGATCGAGACATCCTCAAAATCTGGCCCACCTGGGGGGTGAAAATGAGCGCCTCGCTCGAGACATCCTCCAAATCTGCTCCGAAAGCGAAGGATGTTGAGCCCAGAAACAAGCAAACCGCCTGAGACATCCCCACAAAATGGCCGCGAACGAGCCCGTGCAACCACCCCTGGCGGCTCCCCTTAGGGCCACGTGCTGAAACCAGCGCCCCGCCTGAGACATCCTCACAATCTGCTCTCCAAGCGAAGGATGTTGAGCCCAGAAACAAGCAAACCGCCTGAGACATCCCCACAAAATGGCCGCGAACGAGCCCGTGCAAACACCCCTGGCGGCTCCCCTTAGGGGTGCTGAAACCAGCGCCCCGCTTGAGACATCCTCCAAATCTGATGTGTGTTGAGTAAGTCTGAGTATGAGTAGGTCTGAGTATGAGTATGCCTGAGTATGAGTAAGTCTGTGTATGAGTAAGTCTGTGTATGAGTAAGTCTGTGTATGAGTAGGTCTGTGTATGAGAAAGTTCTGAGTATGAGTAAGTCTGAGTATGAGTAAATCTGAGTATGAGGAGGGGAGGAGGAACGAGGAGGAAGGAGGAGTAGGAGGCGTCCAAGTAATAACCAGAACCCCATCTTAGCATATGGGAAACCATAGAGGGCGGGTCGTTTTCAAAATGTGGCTCTCGCCTTAGCGCCGCGCACATTCGCTTTCAACAATTGCAAGAGTGTCACGGATTGAGAGCGGGTCGTTTTCAAAATGTGACTCTCGCCTTAGCGCCGCGCACATTCGTTTTAAACAATTGCGAGAGTTTCACGGATTGAAGGCGGTTCCTTGTCAAAATGTGGCTCGCCTTAGCGCCGCGCACTTCATTTTGAAAATTTGCAAGAGTTCCACGGATTCCCATGATCAGCGTACCAGGAATGGTGTGTTGAAGGATTCAGGATTATGCGGGGTGCAACAATTATGTTCGTTCGCGGTGTTGGAGTCCCAAAATTGGCGCTCTGGCACGATTCCGGATCGTCAAGACGCAGCAGTCAGGTTGATACGTGGCGTTGAAATCCCGAGAACAATGCTTTGGCATGTTCCAGGATCTTCAAACGGTTGTCTTCAAACGAGGCAGTTCCCTCAGTAGAACTAAAACGGTGTGGGGGCCTATGGAGAGGGGAGCTTGGAGGGAGGGTGAATTCCGACATCGTTGATGACTCGTGGTTTTGCACTGGTCCTCCTCCTCCTCGTCCTCCTCCTCATCCTCATCCTCCTCCTCCTCCTCCTCCCCCTCCTCCTCCCCCTCCTCCCCCTCCCCCTCTACCAGGCGTGCGAACCAGCGCATGCATTACGTAGTGGCGTGCTCAGGGAAGGGGGACCCAATCTGGCGAGCCTGCACACACCGCGCGTCGATACTCCTGTGCAAACTCTCACGAACTTCCTGGTATAACCGACCTTGCAGACGTGCTGCAGCGGATTTTTGCGTGGATTTCTGCCAATGCACAACCCCGAAACGGCGAGTGAAAAAAAGATGTGACTGTCGCGTGGATGTGTTTGTTTATCTTCATTCCTGGCCAACGAATGTCCGCACGAAATTCTCTTCGAAATCCAGCGAAATCCTCCAGGACACTGCGGGCCTATCCAATCGTTTTCCAAACGAAATCCGCTCTGCGATGTTGGCGCCATGAAACCTCCTGGTAAAACCGACCCAATATGCAACACCAAAACCGTGAAGCGGCCTTCAGCACCCGCGCTAGGCCACGGCGCGCGATGGCGGGTGTGCGCAGCGACGCAAATGGATAAGGAACTGGCATGGGCGCCCCGATTCATGAAGGCAACCATCGATCATATCAAGCCAACTGGCTCCGCAACCCTGCTAGGACTGCGCGATGAACCCCACCCAGGTCGCCAACGTCCCCACCATGGTGGGCGTCGTCCAGACTCGCCACGAGTTCTCCAGCACGGTGGGCATGCATGACCTCGGGGCCGCTTCTCAACGTGAAGGTGCCAGCCGCCCTTTCCATCGTGAATCGGGTCACTTTGTCTTGTTTGAAGTGAGAGCGTCATCCCTGGATCGGAGAATGAATGAGAAAGCAACGTGCAGGTCGGTCTGGACATACAGTCAAATTGTTACCATGATGAACGCCCCTGTTGGACTCCAAGCAGTCCTGGGTGCACGAGGAGCGCTGGAGGAACGACATTGAGAGGACCTGAGGATCAGCGAGCCCCTTTCCGAACCCGAGCTCGTTCTTACTTCAGTCTTCACTGTTGTGTATGAATGTATACATATATATATATATATATATATGTATATAGACTCGAGAACAACAGATAGAGAGAGAGAGAGAGAAAACAAACAAGAGAGCACGTGTGTGATACGTGCACATGTGTATATAAATGCATTGGTTTGAGAATACAATAATGTACGGAGAGATGGAGGGAGAGAGAGACAGATACACACAGAAAGAGAGAAAGAGAGAGAGAGAGAGACCAGAGAGACAGAGATACATATATATATAGAGAGAGAGAGAGAGAGAGAGAGAGAGAGAGAGAGACACACACAAGGAGAGAAAGATGACGAGAAAGAGAAACAACAAAACAAAACAAAGAGAGAGAGAGGGACATAGAAACATGGCCCGTCCCTCGTATCAGCGCCGATACCCGTCCTCGAGCGCAGTCAGGCCAAAATGTCGAAGCACATCCGGCCGTGGCGACGAGGGCCCCCTACGGCCACATCCGGCCGTGGCGACGAGGGCACCCTACATCCGACCGAAACTTCAAAGTTCCGTGTCGTCCACGCTGCCGCTGCAGAGAGGGTCGTGAGACTGCGCTGGGGCCGCGTCGAGGCCGCGCTGAAGCCCAGGCCAATGCACCCGTGGGCAAGAGCCCCGATTTCCCCGGCCGTGATTAAAGCGCGCAGCGGTGGAGTCACTGTTAGGTCGGACGTGTCCTCCTACAGGCGGATTTTGGAGGGGGAACCAGAAAAAAAAAAACCATGCTGAACAACTAATGAAAACAATAGTGAAAGTACGGTGCTTTGACTATTTGGGACTACTCCTCCTGTAGAGGGTCATGCCCGACTTGATCCTAGTGTACAGGAGGCAGAAAATGTGTATGGGGTTAGAGTAAAAGGTACAGAACCCCTGATCCGCTGGTAGAGGAAAGGAGGGAAAGATGGATATCTTTTCCTCCTGCACGATCAAAGGTCTGATCGATCGATCCAATACCTGAGCCCAAACGGCCAGGCGCAGGAGAGGTGAGGATAAGGAGTATATATGAGGGTATTATACGGGTTCTATTCACAGAAAAAAACGCGACCCGCGCAGAGACCGCCCCCTGCCTGACGTGGCAGGCAGCAGGCAGCCGCCCGACCCGCCGCGACCATCCGCCCGCAGACGAGGCCGTGGCAAACGCAGAGGCTGGGGAGGACATCGAACAGGGCAGGAGGAGGGGGAGGGGGAAGAGGGGGAGGAGGAGGAGGAGGAGGAGGAGGAGGAGGAGGAGGAGGAGGAGGAGGAGGAGGAGGAGGAGGAGGAGAGGAGGAGGAGCAGGAGGAGGAGGAGGAGGAGGAGGAGGAGGAGGAGGGCGACATCAGAACCCTGCCCTAGGGGAACGAACAACGACCTAAACATAAGAACTCGGAGGGCCGCGCGGATTTCTCGGATCGGCGCCGGAGACCCCTGGCGGCGCCTCCGGTGCCGCCCCTGGCGCGCTGCGCGCGAGCCAGGGAAGGGGGTCCACAACGCCGATCCGAGAAATCCGCGCGGACCTCCGAGTTGTGATGTTTAGGTCTCTGTCTCTTTCCCTATGCCCGCACCGCCCAACCCCTGGCGGCGCCTCCGGTGCCGCCCCTGGCGCGCTGCGCGCGAGCCAGGGAAGGGGGTCCACAACGCCGATCCGAGAAATCCGCGCGGACCTCCGAGTTGTGATGTTTAGGTCTCTGTCTCTTTCCCTATGCCCGCACCGCCCATCCATTCTCACGGGAGGCAGGGCAGGGCTCGGACTTCGCCACGTGGTCGGCGAGCTCCCAACCCATCCCCCCGCCGGCCCTCGAGCTGCCTGGATCGTCGGTCGGCGGTGAGGGTCGGGTTCGGAGTTCGCCGCCGAGCAGGGCCAGTGCGGCACACTCAAAGTGCAAGCAGACTCGGGAGTCTGGGGCGGACAAGAAACGGCTCCACAGGGGCCGCGATGACGGCAGGGGCGCCTACCCAATAGAGGCCGAACGACGCAAGGATGTCAGAGAGAGAGACAGAGAGAGAGAGAGAGCCGACGAACACTCCTGAAACCGCGCTGAACACATCCCTCCTCCCTTCTCCCTCCTCAGGCCCTCCTCCGTCCTCCCTTCTCCCTCCTCCCTCCTCCCTCCTCCCGCCTCCCGCCTCCCTCCTCTCTCCTCCCTCTGTATCAAAAGAAGAAGCTAGGGAGGTACTCAGGGATTCCCTCTACGGCCTCACCGACGAGGCCAGGAAGACCCTTTACTCAGATGCCCCAGCAGTTCCAGAAGCCAGAGTAGGGGACACCGTGTACCAGGACAGGTACTACATTTACCGACCCCAGGACTTCCAGGACGCAGCGAAGGAGGCCATACCAGTGCGCATACACAGAGCCGAGATTTCTATTGTTGCACCTTTTCTCGGGCATGAGAAGGTCAGGAAACGAGCAGTCCCACATCGAGGCCGAGGCCATCATGCAAGGATGCCAGATCACCATGCTCTCGGTCGACACAGCAATACACACGTTGAAGGGGGATCGTACTAGAAGGCAAAATCATAAACGAATGGAGGGGACATATTAGAGCGTACAGAATTTGGAACACGGGGGGGGGGCATGCGAAACATGGTGTGCAGCACGTTGGCTGGAGGGGGGCCCTCCCCAATTACGCACCAACGAATCCATGTGGGGAGTACCGTGGGCTACAGCAACACAGCAAGAACAAGTGGAGACGGGCAACACATTGCTTGTTGCGCTTGTGCAGTTATTAGGAGACTACCTCGCTGCAGGGACGAGCGGATGGATGGAACATCCACAGCCTGCAGTATGGAGACAGAAACCACCCACGTCTTTCATGTGGGGTCCGCTCAGGGCATTATCTTCCTCTCCCATCTCATCCACCACTGACTTTGACCAGTGTGTATTTCAAGACATACCAGCAGCGGACGTAGGACGTGCGCCGACACGAATAGTTGATATACGTATGCCCACATTACATGCATACATCTCGGCACAGGGAAGCGGAGGTACATGTCATCATGGAAGACAAGTGCACATGACACTCGTGGGCAAATCTCCCAACAGTCGCTAAACAAGAAAAGACGTACCCAACCCACATGGCCGCCGCTCTTGCTAGATCGATGTCAGACTCATTGCGGAACATTGCTGACAGTAGCCTACCAATGATGAGTGATCCAGAGGAAGTTACGCGCGGCCTCAAGGAAATGTGTGCCAGGCTGGGATCCAGATACGGAGCTTGTTCGAGCGCCCGACTCCGTGAGACACCGGAAGAGGGACAGAGGAGACCCCGGAGTGAGCAGACTGCTGTGCCTGCAGTCTCCCTCCCCACCTCGTCCGTCGTCGCCCGTTCCTCCCGCTGCCGCCGCCGCCCCCGCCTCCCCAGCGAGTGCTCCGCCTCCCGTCCCAGAGGAGGACGTCGAGGAGGCAGGCTGGGACGCCGAGGAGGGGGCAGCCCAAGACTGAAGGGGCCCCAGGACACACAAATAAATACACACGAACAAAAAGATCCCCCATATTTTCACATATTTTCTGGGTTTCTGTCTTCCCCCCCCCACTTCCCATGTTTTCCTATATTTTCTGGGGGCTCGACGATTAATTGTGTCTGTGTGTTTTTTTCCCTCCTGAAAGACGCGCTCGGGCCCTCCGAGCCCGAGGAGGCCGGGGAGGGCCCCGCTGCTGACCCTCCGTCCTCCCCTCTCCCCCCTCCTCCACGACCACGAGTGCTCTCAGTAGAGGCCTCCTAGATGGGGTCGGAGTAGGTGGGGTCGGAGGATCGCGCCGCATCGCCGATGCATCGGCGATGCGGCGCGATCCTCCGACCCCATCTACTCCGACCCCATCTAGGAGGCCTAGACGGATTCAGAGGGATCGCGAAGCAGCCAGAGCACTGCGCCACGAGCGCCGTGCCCCACGGTCCTTCACGGCCACCTGATGGCCGGAGGGTTGGAATTCAACTGGTGTGTGTTGCGCCAAGGTCGTACACTTCTCCTGGTTGTGTTTTCCCGCAAGTGTGCAGAGTTGCGAGCACGCACTGACTGCCATGCCACCGGTGCACCACCACCACCTCCCGCCTCCCTCCTCCCTCCTCCCTCCTCCTGCCTCCCGCCTCCCGCCTCCCGCCTCCCTCCTCCCGCCTCCCGCCTCCCGCCTCCCTCCTCCCTCCTTCCTCCTCCCTCCTCCCTCCTCACTCCCCCCTCCCCAAGGCGTTGGCCGGTCAAGGGGGCCGCGGGTTGCGCTCCCAGGGAGCGCGGGCCCCCCCATTGCCAGGCCGACCCCACACGTGCCGCGCGGCCGCCCACCATAGCTGCCGCCGCGCGCCCGTGCCGCGATCGCCGCCTCGCCCAGCACGAGCCGACGCGGGCCAGAGCCCGCTTGGCACAGACGTCTGCGGCTACGGCGGACCCACGCCCGCACCATCGTGCGCATCGCTACAGCAGGACAACTACTTCGTGCACATCACAGCTCAATGTCACAACCATGGCAGCGTCAGCTCGACTCCAGCTCGGCGCAGCCCGGTTCCTCGTCGGGGCAACAGTGGCAGTGTGGTCAGTGTGGCACTCACAACTGGCCCAATGTGAGCATGTGTGCATGGTGCTTCCCCCCGCAGCCGTCGGCTCGGGCACGAGGAGGGAAGTCACGCGACCGCTCTCATCCGCGCAAGTCCCAGCAGTCGCAATCAGAGCAGCCCCAGTCCAGTTCCCAGCCTACCCAGATGGGAGGGTCGGGTTCGGGCGGACGCGGAGGAGTA